AATGGACAGATTCCTCGATACATATGAATTACCAAAGTTGAGTGAAGAAGACCTAAAAATTCTAAACAACCCAATATCAATCCATGAAATTGAAAATGTAAGTAAAAACTTACCAACTAATAAAAGTCCATGTTCTGATGGCTTCACTGCTGAATTCTACAAGACACTTAGAGAAGAACTATTGCCACTATTCTTTAAACTCTTCAATGAAATTGAAAAGGAAGCAATATACCCAAATTAATTCTTGGAAGCGAGCATAACCTTAGTCCAAGCAGAGAAAGACCCAACTGAAAAAGAATTATAAGCCAATCTCACCGATGAACTAGATGTCAAAATCCTCAATAACATACTGGCAAGCAGAATGCAGAAGATCATCAAGAAGATCATTAACTCTGACCAAGTGAGATTCATCTCAGGGAGGCAGGGATGGTTCAACATATACAAATCAATGAATATAATATGCATATTAATAGAGCCAAGGATAAAAACCATATAATCATCTCAAAAGATGTAGAAAAGGATTCAAAATATCCAACACACATTCGTGATTTAAAAAAAAAAAACACTAGAGGAAATTGGAGTAGGCAGAAAGAAATAAAAGGAATAAACATAGGAAATGAAGAATCTACATTGTCATTATTTGTAGATGACATGATACTCTATATAGAACATCCCAAGAATTCCACCAAAAGCCTTCTAGACTTAATAACTGAATTCAGTAGAGTAGCTGGATACAAGGTCAACACAGAAAAACCAATACATTTCCTGTCCAAAGACTCACTGAAAGAGGAACGAGAGAAACAACTCCCTTCACAATAGCATCCAAAAAAATGAAATACCTAGGAATTAAGCTAATGAAAGAAATCAATGATCTCTACTCTGAAAACTGTAGAGCTCTGAAAAAAGAGATTGAAAAGGATATTAGAAAATGCAAAAACATCTCTTGCTCCTGGGTAGAAAGAATCAACATAATGAAAATGGCCATACTACCAAAACTGCTATATAGATTCAAGGCAATCCCAGTTGAAGTTCCCACCACATACTTCACAGACCTTGAGAAAACAATCCAAAAATTCATTTGGGAGAAGGAAAGACCTAGAATAGCAAAAGCAACTCCAGACAACAAAGACAAGATAGGGGGTATCACAAGCCCCAACCCGAAACTATACTACAAAGTTACTATGATAAAAACAGCATGGTACTGCCCAAGAAAAGACCTGAGGAGCACTAGAACAGATTAGAAGATGCAGAAACAACTCCAAACACACTCAGCCAGCTCATCTGACAAAGGAGCCAAAAACCCTCACTGGAGGAAAGATAGCCCCTTTAATAAAGGGTGCTGGAAAAATTGAGTTTCAACTTACTAAACATTAAAACCAGACCTATATCTCTCACCATGCACTAAACTAAAATAAAAATGGATTAAAGATCTAAATATTATAACTAAAACATTAAACTGGCTGGAAGAGAGGTTAGATATAACTCTTGAAGACATTGGCATACAAAAGGATTTCATGAACAAAAACCTGAGTTGCACATAGCACAATCAACAAGTGCGATCTCTCTCTCTTTTTTTTTTTTTTTTTTTGACCAGCACATCCTAGATTTATTACAACTGACCTGCAGGCAAAAGGATAGAATTATTATATAAACACTTCAATGCCATGTATAGATCTTAAACAGAGGAGGAATTCAAACAAATACACAGGATAAAATATTCCAAAACTACAAGAAGCAGTTATGCTACTGAGCTCCAGTTTTACAGACAAATAAAGCAATATCCCTGCACATTAGCTTTTTGATAATGTTTATACATTTTGATATGGTACAATAGAAATATAAACATAGCTGACATTGTACAGTTCCTACACTGTTTTCACAGTTTGTGAACACTATAAGCCCTTTTGTTTTAAAAAAGATACATTGTAATAAACTCCTTGCCCTTAAGTTTATAGTTTATAATAGTCTATGGTTAATACACTAAAGCTAGCTTTTTATGTGGTCATCCATAAGTAGAATAGTCAGATTAGTTCCTGGAAAGTCAAAATCGCTTATATCTTCATTTGTATCATGGCAAAGTGACCCTATGCTGAGCCAGATGGGAAATTGACAGCAGAGAAACAAATTCCTCTTGAGTCCCTGGGAGCAATGGAGGATGATGGCTTGGTGTGGTTGAGAAGAGACATATAGCAATGCCTTCTTTTACAACAGTGGGGAGTCTAAGGTATAGGATTCCATGGAAGAGATAATGGGGAAATTAGGTAAGTGGACCAAAGAAATAAATCATTTTTTAATTCTGTAATTTACAGGGATATAACTTTGAGCAGCACTATTCTCCCTGTATTGTTGTGCAGTATTTATGACTGTCACTCTGGGAGGAGACCCAGGATTACCTGCTACAATTTGCTTCAGTAATGGCATCACCTTCATCTCAGACCATGGCTGAAGAGATTCCACTTCTGCACAGCAAGAAAAAACACCAACAGAGCTAAGAGAGAACCTACAATGCGGGGAAAAAGTTTTATGAGCTGTTCCTCAGACAAAGGTGTACTATCTAAAATATATAAAGAACTCAAAAAAATCAGACCCCCCCAAATATAAAGACTCAATTCAAAAATGGGCATCTGAAATGAACAAATGAACAGACATTTCTTAGATGAAGAAGTAGAAATAGCAAAGAAACATGTAATATAATGTTCAACTTCACTGGTCATTTGAGAGATGCAAATGACAGCAATGTTTAGATTCTATCTCACCCCAGAAAGAATGGCTGCTATCATGAAATTAACCTATAATAACTGCTGGCAGGACTATAGGGAGAAAAGAACCTTGCTTCACTGTTGGTGGGAGTGCAGACTGGTGCAAACACTGTGGAAATTAGTATGGAGATACCTCAAAGAATTAGGATTAGAGGCTCCATTTGACTCAGCTATTTCTCTACTGGGTATCTTCCCCCAAAAAATAAAAGAATCATTCCACAGAAATATATGTGCACCCTGTTCATAGCGGCACAGTTTGTAATAGCTAAAACTTGAAAACAGCCTGATTGCCCATTGGATAAAGAAAACGTGGGTTTTCAATAAAATGGAGTACTATTCAGCCATAGAGAATGAGAAATTAGAGACATTTATAGCTAAACGGATGCACATTGAAGCCATACTCTGAAGTAAAATAAATAGGTCAGACATGTAAATCTCAAATAGTTTCTCTGGTATGAGAAATTTGAGGTGCAAATATGTACCAAAAGGTACCACAGATAATGTCAAATAGGAAGAAAATGTCCAAAGGGAAAGGGGAAGTTGGAGGGGTCAGGGAAAAGAAAAAAGGGAATGGAATTAATACAAGAAGATGCAAACATGGAAACAAAGTCTTTTTAAATGGGGAGGGAGGGAGGGAAAGAAATGGGGGAAAAATAAGAACCAAAATATATTATGTAAAGGTACAAATTTCCAATGATGAAGGTCATTATATCGCATACCTAAAATGTACCAAAAAAATTAACTAAAAAAAAAACAAGGATTCAAACTTGGTTTATAATAAGGAGAGAAAGTGAACAAATATTCCATGTAACAATCTACCGTTCTTTCCTGTGGTAAGTTATTTTATACCAAAATGAGAATTTAAATATACTTTTAGAGAATAAAAGAAAACTCCAAATGATTCCAACTTAATCCCAGCATAATTGTTATGCTAAAATATTATGTTTGTTATTGATTTCAAATTTTTCCTGTAAAGTCTGATAACTGTCCTGTTAATATTTTATAAAAATCTGACTTCTAAAGCAACCATGGTTGGGAAAAATAGAAGTTCTCCAGTCATAATTTATATTTCGAAGTGCTCAATATCCAGATAAAATTGTAGTTGTTAAATTTACTGCTCCAACTTCAACGTTCATCTAACTGATCTCCTAAGTGTTTAACAACTGAGGCTGAGAGGCCAAAGCTTAAAAAAGACAAGTGGACTAGGAAGACAGCCAATATTTTGCCATGGACCTCTAAGGTCAATGAATACGTCAGGCAGGAGAAGAACTATGTACAAGAACCTACAAATCTAATGAGTTACCCAATTTACTGTGCAGAAATATTGTTAGTTCCCAGAAGATAGGACTTGACCAATTAGTATATTGTGCTAAAAGGAGGATCACCAAAGAGGAAAAATGTCATTGATATGCATTTATATATATGACATTTATATTTATATTTATATTTATATATGACATCTATACATAAATTTTGATTAACACAGATCTCATTTTAACTCAGTCTTAACCACCAACAAAAATGTATAACCAACAAGATATATAAAACTTAACAGTAATACAAGCAAATATACAAAAGGTCTCCACTTACTACACTGAGTCCTAACGAGAGTCTCTAGCTACACCTATGACTTACCATTGTTAAGGTTCAATGAAGCTATAAAGCCACAATGAGTTATACAAGCTCAACAAAAGTCTTTGAATTTCTTAGCTAAAAATGTCCTTCCAAAACAGAGCCTTCAATCTTCTTATAGCTAAGAAGAACTTACCATACATAAAGTGTGTTTTCTTTAGATAGGTAATTCATATCAGGTACAAAAGATCTTAAAAGAAACAGAAAATCCAACTTATAGATCACCTCCTGATTGCCAATAAAGGGGAGGCTACGTCTATTGCTAAAAGAAGAATGGTGCTTTCATGCCAACCAGTCTGAAATCGTGAGACACGCAGCACAAAAACCAGCCAACTATGCTTTTAAGATCCACCAAGAATTTTCTTTCTCTTTGTACCGGGGATTGAACTCAGGACCTTGTGGTTGCAAGGCAGGCATAGTGCCACTGAGCTAAATCTCCAGTCCCTCCACCAGGAATTATCTGAATCACGAGGATTCTCGTCAGGGATTTGGAATTGGGCATCCTGGTTACATCCCCTAGTAGGGCCATTGCTAATCCTTCCTACAGCCCTGTTTTTAGGACAGAGTATACTAAACCTTGTGGTCATTGTGTTTCTTCTCATTTCGCAGCTTTCAAGCTACAGCTGGTGGTGCGGACAGACACACTGATAGACTCTTCCTGATGCCTAATCAGGGCCCTTAAAGCGATCTCACCACAGTGGTGGGCTGTGACTGCTGCCCTTCGCAGCAAGAAGCAACTAGAGTGACTGAAGCCCCATACTCCTAATGACAGTTAGGTCACCACTGCTGAGGGGGAAATTGAGACCAGAAAATAAAGGCACAAAATGTGAGGGCCTGAGGAAACAGAGATAAGCCTAAGGAAATTAGAGTGCAAGAGACAACAGCCTAATTGGAGTACAAAGTACAAAAGACTAATAAAACCTGCTGACAAGAAGCTGTTCAGCAGCAGCTGCATTCTTTTATTTTCACGTCTGCCTTCCCTTTCCGTGCGTTAAAGGGTGTGTATAAGCCCCTAGACTTAGGCACTTCTGTGCTGTCCTCCTTTGAAACACGCTCTCCTAACAAGAGCTTTCCTTTAGTCCTTTCTAATAAGCCATACCAACTCATTCCCCACTGCTGTCCTGTTGGCTTCTTTCTTCTGTTTCACTCAGGACAAGAGCTCAGAGGGGAAAAAGTTGGTTATACTGTGAATGTCTCAGGGGAGAAGAACCATTTTAGTGTCTTTGGTAGTCTGAGTTATTATAAAACATTTGCTAAATAGATGTTACACTTGCAAATTTAAAAATAAAGTTTACCTATTCAGTCAACTACTGGACAGTGAAGTAAGAGGCAAGGAGATTCAAATCTTGAATCTCTAAAATGTTGCCAACAAGGCTTATGTTATGTGTTTTACACACACACACACACACACACACACACACACACACACCATGCACACATGCATGCATACACACAATGTAATAGGTATTTACTTTGCACCTAGAACTCAGATTTCCAAAAGCTTCAAAGAGCTTGAATAACAAAGTCAAGGGCATGCTGAAGGCAAGAGGCACAATCAGATACCGACTGTAAGGAGGCCTGGCCTCCTGGTAAAATGGGGTGAATGGAGACCGTGGGGGAAGGAAAGAATCACTTAGAGGGAGACAGTAAATAAACTTGCTTGTCTTTTTCTCTGTTCTAGATTGAAGGTATAAAAGGTGACTTAAAACTTGATTTATATTGGTTCAAGCTGAGAACGTGCTTTAAAATGGGCACCCATCAGAGGTCAATATGATTTCTCTTTAAAGAAACCCACAGAAAGCTAAGTCTTAATGAGTTACCATTATGAGAAACATAGACTCACATAAAGGATTTAAAAGTACACCAGGAAATATGCCATTACTAGAAAGTTAGCAGAAATAGCAAAGACCAAAGATGTTAAAATTGCCAGATAGACAGGTAAAATAATTGCATAAGATAGACTTAGAGACTATTAAAAATATAATAAAAGAAGAAGAATAGACTATAGAAAGCAACCAAGTCCATGGGAGTTTACTAATTACTAAGAACTGAATGAAATTTCCAGACACTAAAGTACAGTGTTTAAATTAGATATACACGGAATACATAATACAATAGGAAAAAATAAAGAGAAAATTATTAAACAAAAACTCCAACTGAAAAGACTCTCATTAAACAATTTAAAGATTAGAATTATAAAAAACATGAGGGCTTTAGTGAAAAGTTCTCACATATGCTTGCTGAATGTTTCAGAGGACAGAGAAAACGTAGTACCAGAAGAACAATGTCTGGTATCTTCCAGAATTTTGAATATGTCGCATAAAATATAGGAAGTCCAACTAAATGGAGGAGAACACATAAATCCCAAGCAGTATAAATAAAATAAGTACTTTTGGACATATTTTAGAGAAAGTATAGAAAACCGAAGACAAAATATTGTAAAAAGCAGAGAGAAGAAATAATATAGGTTGCTCAGTGTATTAATTAAGAACAGACTTGAACCAGGTGGGTTCAAATCTAGGCTCTGAGGCAAAAAAGCCAATTGAAATGGGAAAAATGACAATAGTACTCACTTCATAGTAGTAAGTGTAGTAGAGGAGTAAACGATAGTATGAAAATGTAGCAAATATAGGACCTGATATACTGTAGCATTTAACATTTAACAATCCTTTCTATTACTATTACTTACGTGGGAGGAACTTCTTAAGACAAACAGGGAGGTCAGAAGAGAGTAAATTATCTACAAGTTTCCAAATTTCTCTCTCTCTCTTTTTTTTTTTTTTTTTTTTTTGGTCCTGGCGATCAAACTCAACACCTTGCGCTTGTAGGGCAGGCAGTGGCACCACTGAGCTAAATCTCCAGCCCTATACATTTCTAAAAGAAAAGAATTATATATCCTATAAAATTATCTTTAAAGAAAAAGTCCAATTTATCTTTGAGAAGAAAATTGCTATTAGTAATTATTCTCCTTGAGCAAGGTTGAATTAAAGACATTCTGCAAACAAAATATGCTCACTACTGTTATGATTTAGATCTAAAATGTCCCCCAAAGTTGCATGTGTCTGGTAGGTGGTTGAATCATGAGAGCACTGTACTCGTCAGTGGATTCACCCCTTGATAAATTCAGTAGGTGAATGTGCTGTGAAGAAGTGGGCCAGACTGGAGGTGGGTCACTGGGGTCGCTGGGGGCACGGCCTGCAAAATGCACTCTCGTCTTCAAATCTTTCCTTCTCTCTCTCTGCCTCTTTGTTTCCATGGCTTCCCTTCACCATGCCTTTGCACAGTACCATTTGTGCGTTGGAGCCAGCTGAAAATAAACCGAAAAAGTGAGCCAAAACAAATGTTTCCACTCTAGTTCGTTGGTGTCGGGTATTTTGTCCCAGTAGGTGGGAAAGTGACTGATACAGATACTGGCCCTGAGAGTGCGACGGCTGCAGGACTACGCCTGACCACGAGATTCAGAAGCCTTTCAAACTGGTTTGTGTGAGCAGTTTGGAAAGATTTGGAGATGTCAGCGAGAGAGAAGCTTTAAATTGTGTAAGCAGAGATGGATGGGGGATTCTGGTTTGAACTCAGAAGACTGGAATGCTGGTAGAAATGAAGACCGAAAAGGCCGGGGTTAGGAGGTTTCAGATGGGAACAAAGATTCCATTAGCACTTTGATTAGAAGCCGTGTGCGTTTTGCTTTGGAAGAAAATTTGTTTTCAGTTTGTCCATGTTCTGAAACTTTGCAGGAGGCCAAGATTAAGGATAGTGGGTTAATGAATCACAATTCACAAATAAGAATGGATAAAGCAGGCATGGGGGCAATGCTTGTAATCTCAACACTCAGAAGACTGAGGCAGGAGGATCACTAGGAATTTGAGGATCACCCGGGCTACATAATAAATTTAAAAACAGCTTACACTATAAAGTGAGACCCTGTGTCAAAAAAAAAAAAATTGGACAGGTTAGATTTTTTACTTAGAGGATAATGATGATAATATTGATTTAAAAAATAAAATCTAGCCAGGCGTGGTGTCACACGCCTGTAATACCAGGACTTGGGAGGCTGAGGCAGGAGGATCGCTGTGAGTTCAAGACCAACCTGGGTTACATAGTGAGCTCCAGATCAGTCTCAACTACATAGTGAGCCCCTGTCTCAAAAATCCAAAAAA